ATAAAAAAAGTGAAATTTTTAGAAAATCTGAATTTTTGATAAAAAAGCTGAAATTCAAGAGATAAAAGTGAAAAAAGCGGAAAAATCTCAGCCCTGAATAAAAGAAGAACAAGTTTTTCTCCCTAAATTTTAGAAATTTCTAAGCGAAATATTGTTAACCCATTGATGCAGAATTTTTATTAAGTATATTTTAATGCTTTTTCTATTATTTTGTAAAATTTTTGTGAAAATAAATGAAAGTATTTATCATTTTAATAATTTACGGCTATGAAATGCAGCATGTAACACTGTTTTTTTTCTACCATAGAGGTAAAATCTTTCTAAGACAACACTTCCAAATAATAATTTTTTAAATTTTCACTTATTTTTTTCAAATTTGCAGTTTATTCATCAATTGATATGAAGAATTCTATTGGTAGAAAAAAAATTGAAAACAATAAGATTTTGCACAATTAGGACTTTAAGTTAGGATTGATCGAAACTCTGAATCAAGTAAAAGCAAGGATGTAATAATTTGATAGAACAGGAAAATATTAAAAAAGATGGAAAAGAGAATGATAAGAAAAAGATTTTTGTTTGTAGATATTGTATTAAAAGTTTGGTTATAATTTTGCTTACTACATATATCTGTTGGCACATTCTTTAATTTCCTGTGTCCCAAGAGAAGCGTCATAACTTATTTTTCAGCTCCAAATTGAACCCATGTCATGCTTTTGGCTCAGTGAATAGTATTGGAGTTTCGGAACAACTTGGAGCAATTTTGGGGAAAAAGTGGCATTTTTGAGCAGGCTGGAGCAGAAGTTTTGTTTTGGAACAATTTGAGCAGCTATTCCAACCATGGAAGTTAAACGATATATTATCAGTATTAAAAATTACTGTGAAGGGTTACAATCAAACAAGTAATTTACTTTTTAGCCATTTCACTGTAAAATAGAGCATTAGACACTTTCAAAAGCTAGCACAGAAGTAAAAATTATCCCTATCACACAAGTTAAGCTTTACACACTTTACCCCACTTCAGAAAATAATTCATAATAAATTGAATTTTGAAATTTATTCATAAATTTCTGTGTAGATCTGTTCTTTAGATGTCATTCTATCAGTTTGAACTAAATTAACAGTTTTTGATGATTTTTAATGATATAATAAAGTTCATCAACAGCTCAAACTATATACTTTAAGGGTTAATCATAAACAGACAGATTTTATTTAACAGTTTCTAAAACTGAAATAAAAATGCTTGCCCCAATCCCAGTTAAATATCTCTACAAATAATAAATTATCTTAACTTAAAGGAGATAATAGATATTCTTAAATATATACCCACTTTACCCCACCTGACTAGAATATAGAAGAAAGTAAAACTATAAAAATAAAACAAAAGCTTAGACTACAATTAGGTAAATTATGATAAAAGAAGTCAGTTTTTTAGCTGAAGAATCAACTTAAAAAAGATTATTTCAAAATAGAAGGAACTTAAAAAATTCAGAGCGAAAATAAAATTTGAATCATAATTAGAATAAAACTTACAAAATCTTTATCCACAGTAAATTAAATTCAGGTTCAAGAATTATTTCAAATTTATATCAAGCTCCTTCTAAAGTAACAAATAATGAATTTCTAAAACTTAATTTAGGTTACAGACTATATTCTTTAAATTAACTAATGGAATGGAATTAACAATAGCAGAAGACAGAGCGCGAAAATCTACTATTGGCAAAAATGAAATGATTAGAGTTTAATTGTTTTATCCCTGTCTCATGATTTGCAAAAGTAAAAAACCACTTTAACTTTGACTTCAATTTTTTCTCGGTATGTATTTCCTTATGGATGGCTCATGCTAGAAGTGCAAATTCATAGTAAGACTTCCGGGTTACTACTTTTTTTTGCCTAAGCTTGAAAAAGTTTGCTATCCAATATTATTATATCAGTGGGCGATTCTTTTGTTACGTGTGTTACTTTTACACGACATATTTCAACTTTAACACTCTTTATTATAAACTTGTTAGATATATTTTATGTTTTTTCTTAATTTGTTCTTAAATCTACATGTGTTTTAAGTATGCAGAAAGAAGATAGAAGGTGCTTATTAATTTGATGTAGCTAAAAAAGAATTCTGAAATTTTGTTACGTGTGTTACCCTTTATAATGCTAGATATTTAAAACTTTGAATATATTCATTTAATTCTGTGAAGTATAAATGTGTAAAATTAAGATATTTTTTTAACGATATCAAAGCTGTGTTTAGTGATTTTTTAAATTTTTTTCCAACAGTGACAACATTTTTATTTGGTGAAGTTGGTGCTTTACGTGTGTTAACTGAAAGTTATGTGTGTTACCCTCGGTGAATATTTCAACTGAAAAGTCATAAATGCTGCGCTAAAATATTTATATATTTTAAATTATCAGAAAAAAAGCAACAATTTAGTTTAACAAATGAAATAGTTAAGGGTTTGGAAGGAAAGTTGAACTCTTCTTTATTCTGATTTAAAGAGTAAAACATAAAAAAAATTTTGCACATCTATTTCCTCCAAATCATTTCTCTCAGAGAACATGAAATATGCATCTTTTCCAATAATTTTCTGCATATATTGTATTTTAAGTTTACAAGCATGTGCATTTGCGTCAATTTATGTGCCAAGATAGAGCACATCTATCGTTCTAATTTCAGTTATACGAGCTCTACTGATTACAGCCCTTATGAAATAATCGAGATATAAATGAGGTACATTTTAAAGGTATAAAGGAGGTTATTATTTAAATACGTCGTTAGGTTGAAAAGAGAGCAAATGAATACCTCAAAATCAACCTCAAATATACCTCCGGAAGTATATATGTTTCAACCTCAGATATCTAATTTTATGCTTGTAGAGGTATGTATTTATCAACTTGTGGTGTGTCGTTTTGCACTTCAGGTTATTATAAATCAATCTCAGGTGTATTTTGTTCTATCTCAGGCAATTATTTTTCAACCTCAGGTATCTAATTTTATGCTTGTAGATGTATAAATTTTCCAACCTATGGTGTGTCATTTTACACTTCAGGTTATTATAAATCAACCTCAGGTATCTACAAACTAAGGCTAAAAACGTTAAAGAGCACAAAAATATTTATAAAATACAGACAGCTGTTTCGGATGCTCAAAAGGGCAACCTTCATCCGTGCAACAGAAAGAAATTAGGCTTAGGCTGAGTCTGGATACGAAGTACCAGTCCGCGAAGCTGACACTCCACCTCTTCATCGATAGTAGTGCCCGTAGGCGCCTAGTATAATGTCTTTAGAAAAAAGTAAACCACAGGAGAACTGTGGATGTCTTGGGTGTTTGTCAGCTAGGAGGAGAGATCACTGTAACTTAATCTTGTCGGCTAGCAGAGATCGGAGTAAATTCATGAGATCTTGGTCCTTTAGGAGTTGCTGCATTTCTTTAAATAACAGCAGGAATCTGGTGGCTTTGTCCGAGGCTTTGGCAGGCTGAGTGCGTCGGCCTCTTGGTCTTCTTTTGGGTCTTGCACCGCAGCCCGAAAAACAGGCTGGGTGCTCACCCAGGTAGTTAACACATTTCGCCGGCTCGCTCAATGGCTTTGTACAAGGGTGCGTGAAATGTGCATTGGCGCACTTCATACAAGCAGGCTCAGCTGTGCATGACTTTTGTGTATGTCCGAATTTTTGCCATCGGTAGCATTGTATTTCGTGGCGCCTGCCACAAAATCTCTCTATCTTAACAGGAGTATCAAACAGTCTCTTGAGAAAGAAATGCCTATGTGAAATGGTTAACTAAGTACAGGCCCCGTCAGGGGTCCCAACTCATTCATCCCAGTGGGGTTGAAGTTGCTCTAGCGAAGCAGATCTGAAGTAGGTGTTGAATCAGTAGGATAGGTCCCTTACGAAAATTTAAGGTATATTTAAGGTTGATTTGAGGTATTTTTGAGGTATTAAGGTTGTTTTGAGGTATATTTGAGGTATATTTAAGGTTGCAGAGAAAACAGCAATAAAAATTATACCTTGTAAAGGTTGTAATTACGGTGTACGAGGTTGATTTACATATACTTCAGCTTGTTTTGAGGTTGCTTAAAATTCACTTCAAATCATCCAGACTGATAAGGTGATTTTTGAGGTATACCAGGTTTATTTTCTTACACTTGTATCAAAAGAGGTAATTTTTAGGTATAAAATTTTTTACCTTATT